TCTTATAAATAAAATTCTGGAACTAGACTTAACTTTTGATGTTCAGCTAGCTTGGAGCTTCAGAGATATTTGATATTAAAAGAGAAGTACTTTTGATTCTTAAAGAGCAAAAGATTGGCTTCAAAAAATATATCCCAAGCTTACAGAAGATTTTAGATAATGACAGAAAGTTATAGGAGCTACAAAGAACATTGTATATAAAATTGAAGCCCTGTCCCTTTGATTTTTTTCTTCCCCAGTGATGACCACTTGAAATTGGTTTTATCATTTCCATATATGTTGCTATATTTTTGCTAAATATAAATATATCCCTAAATAGTGTATGATTTTGCTTTGCATGTATTTAAACTTCACATAAATAATAGCATACTATTCATATTCTTCAAACTACTTTTCATTGTAAATATATTGTGCTTTTGAGACTCACCCATGTTAGTCCATTTCACTCTATTCGTTTTTCACAGGTATAAGGTATTTCTTTGTAAAACTATATATATCTTTTTCTATATAGATGTTTCTAATCATTAACCATTAACAATACAAAACAGTGTAACATGCAGTATTTTTGTATGTATTGGCCATCTTTAGCATGCAAAAGTTGCTCTCTTGTATAAATCTAAAAGTGGAATTGCTGGGTGGTAGGATATGCACATCTTCAAATGCATTAAGTGCTTCTCCAAAATGATTTTATCAACTTAGACTCCCAGAAGCAACATAAGAGAGTTCTTGTCTTGTTCTGTACCAATGCTTCAGGTCATTAGGCAGCATTAGTTTTTGTCAATCTGCAATCTGAGACATCTGAAACAATACATCACTATGGGTTTAATTTGCATTCTTTTTCCCTCATTTCTAGTGAAGATGAGATCATTTGTATATTTATTGGCCATTTAATTTTCTTCTTCAGCAAAATGTCCATTATCTTTTGCTCATTTTTCCACTGAGTGGTTTTGTTTTTTCTTTATGTGGAGTGGTTCTTTTTGTTGTACATATACTAATCCTTTGTGGTTTATATGTGTTACAAGTAGCTCCTCCTAGGTGGTGGCTTCTCTTTGTTCTTAAAAAAATGCATACAAATTTTAAATGTTAATGTATCAAGTTTTTCCTGTTTAATTGCCCTTTTTGGTTTCTGGTATAAAAGTTCTTTCTTGAGACCTAAACATTGCAAAGCTTTGCTTTTTACATTTTCCACACAAACTCCTAGGATTTATGTTTGTGTTCGGTATGTGGAAGGCCTAATTGTATTTTGCTTTATGTGGCTAGTAGTGCAATTGTTAAATAGTCCATCATTTCCCCACTTATTGATCAATTCTAACATTAAGATGCTCTTAATGTTCCAGCATTGAGTAATGTTTACCATAGTTTTAAAAAAAGTTGGCTAAATACCCATTGTCAGGTTAAGACCGTGCTCTCCAATCCTATGCTTGCTGAAGTTGTTGTTGTTGTTGTTTAATAACGAATGAGTATTGCATTTAAAGCTTTTTCTGCATCTACAGAGGTAGTCATGGCTTTTCTCCTATATCTATTAATGTGGTAAATTACAGTCATTGATATTTTCATCTTAAACATCCTTGCATTCATTAGACAAACAAAACATGATTTTATTTTAGATCTTGCAGTGGTGTTTATATTTGCAGTCAGTATATAAGTTTCTGTCTTCATACTGTTCTTGTTTGGTTTTTGTGTCAGAGTATTAGTAATCACATAACATGAGCTGGGGAGCTTTTTATATTCTCTGAAACTCTGTATATGATTAAAATGAGCTCTTCTTTGATTATTTTATAGAAAATACCTTTAAAAATCTGATACTTGGGGTTGTTTCATTTTGGTGTGTATGGATATATCTGTAATTAATTGGTTCAATCTCTTAAGGTTAATAGGGCTTTCTAAAATATCTATTTCTTAGTCAGATTTGGTAAGTTATTTTTAGAAAATTGTCCATTTCTTCAGAGTTTCCAAATGTATGGTCATAAAAATTTCTCCTCATTTTCTCATAATTTTGTCTCTTGTAATATTTGTGGTTATATCTACGTACCAGTTTTGAATATTGCTTATTTGTAGCTTTTTCTTGAACAAATTTGACAGAATATATTTTTATTTTTAAAAATTATAAATCAGCTTTGATTTTGTTGATTCTCTCTATGTATCTTGATTTCTCTATTTCATTCATACCTTTATTTCCTTTCTTTTGCCGTCTTTGAATTTATTCTACTGTTGCTTTTCAGATTATTGAGTTAACTTCTTTTCTAATATAAACACTGCAGGCAATAAATCTCCTTCTAAGTACTACTATAGAAGCATCCTATAGCTTTTTCATTATAGTACCCTTTGAATATTTTCCGATTTTCTCTACTTTTTTTTTTTTTTTAAGATTTTATTTATTTATTTGACAGAGAGAGACATTGAGAGAGGGGACACAAGCAGGCAGAGTGGGAGAGGGAGAAGCAGGCTTCCCGCGTAGCAGGGAGCCCAATGTGGGACTCGATCCCAGCACCCTGGGATCATGACCTGAGCCGAAGGCAGACGCTTAACAACTGAGCCACCCAGGTGCCCCTATAATTTTCTTCTTTGGCCTGAGTTATTTAGAAGTGTTTACAGTTTTCCAATTATATCAATTTTATTATTTTCAACTCAGTTGCATTGTGGTTAAGAAGGTAGCCCGTATGAAACCAATTTTTGGCGTCTCTTTATGAGCTTTATGGCAGGATCGGTGGTCAGTTTTTAGACAGTCTCTGTGTATTTGAGAAGAATGCTTTCTCTAACTTGGGGCATTGGGTATATATGCTCCTTTGTCATGTTAAACTTATGAATCAAGTTGAAAAAATTTGTTATGTCCATGACAATTATCACTGTGTGAGAATTATAGTAAACCTTTCCACTTTGTGGCTTAGATTTAGCTGCATGTAACAGAAAAATAAATAAGAGCAACTTAAGATAGTCTGGACTTCATTCATGTGAAGGAGAAATCAAATTCTATACATGCCTGAGTGTCCAGGGCTGAGGGAGTAGCTCCTTAGTGAGCCTGGAGTATAGGATTCTCCCTTCCTGTAGCTGCCAGCAATGGCAGTTTCTTCCCTCTACTTCTGCCACCTCTGAGTGAGAGCCAGAGGCAGCCCCACTTTTCTAGGGAGAACAGCTGTGGGACTTAGGGCAGAATGTGAGTGATACCAGAGTCATCTTTCTCCTGCACTAAGGAACCTTGTGTTCTCCACTAG